AATTGTAATGAGCGGTTGGCGGGCGGTCTGGTGTCGTCTGTTCTTTCTATTGCTCTCTGTACGCATATGTGTGTGTGTGTGTGAGAGAGAGAGAGAGAGAGAGAGAGAGAGAAAGAGAGAGAGAGAGAGAGAGGGGGGGGGCAAAGAGAGAGTGACTGTGATTGATGACCAAACCTTGTCAGTGTCTGATGGATCAGTAAAAAGCAGACTATGTACAGGAAAAAAGTGAACATTTCTTGAGCTCAAAATCCGCAGCTGATGAGGACGAGAACCAAGCTCTTTTAGGCGCACTTTCTCTTCTTACTGTAGCCGGCTGAATAGCACAAGAAGCAAAGGGTCAACGTTATTAGATGAAACCGCATAAAAACTTAAATAAAGGGAAACGTTACTTAAACAACTCACTATGCTCACAATCTGAGAAGATTTAAAGATTTATAATTACTTCGTGCAGCACCAACAACCAGACTCAATTTGAAGATTTACCTTAACAGGACTTGCTACACAAAAGAGGGCGACAAGTTTCGATACCCATTCTTCATTGAGTTACTGTAGACTCAACGAATGTAGTAGATAGTAGGCCAGCGGTAACTTGGATCAAATTTTTAGCTTGCACCAAATTGGTGCTGCGAAGAGGAGTTTCACGCACCTTTCTTCTTGTGCGGGAAGAACGATCAGCCTAGATTTCTCTACAGTGACTAAAATAACTTTGGTGCAAAGATTTTGCTTGCTCCCAGCATGCAGTCGCTACCGCAAGCGGTGCGACGAGCATAAACTCTCCTCGCTGTCTGTCTCTTCACTGGCGCGCGCGCAGCCAGCGGGTGACGGATCGCAAGGATATAGGCTAGTACATACTAGTATGTAGATATAGAGCACTGACTGGCATTGGACAATTAGAAAAGGGATAGGGGGGGGGGGGGTTGAAGGCCAGGGTTAGGTGGAGCGCTTGCACAAATTGCACCAATGGCGCCCAGCCACTCTCTGTTGTATCTCTGCTTCGGTCGGATTCACGGGAAGGAGAAAAGAGCATAATCATGTCATATTAAAGCACCCTCGTTTCAACCACCACCACCACTCCCCCCTCCTAGAAAAAAAAAGATTTTAGAAAACAATTAATTACAAGTAATGATTTTAAAAATAAGTTTTTAAAATTATAATAAATATTGAAATTATGATAGTAAAATAATAATAATAATTGCAATAGAAATAACAATCACAATAGACTAACAGTAGCAATAAGAGTAATAATAATAATAATGATAATAATAATAATAATAATAATAATAATAATAATAATAATAATAATAATAATAATAATAATAATAATAATAATAGATCTAGATCTAGTTATAATAATAGTAATGATGATGATGATGATGATGATGATGATGATGATGATGATGATGATGATGATGATGATGATGATTACAGCAACAAATAATAATAATAATAATAATAATAATAATAATAATAATAATAATAATAATAATAATAATGGCAGTAGTAATAAAGAACATTTAATGATAAGACGATACAAATAATTATGAAAATGAAAAAAAAATACCCCATGATAAAGAAATTTACTGCATAATCGAAATTCGAATAAACAAAAAAGAAAATAAAAGAATACTAGATCTACCTAAGATCAAACTGTATGCTAACAACAGCAACAGGACCAAAACAACAGCAGAACAAGAGGCAGCAACAACAACCAAAAAAACAACAACACAAAAAACAAAACAAAAACAACAACGGGGGTTTGGGCGTGGATGGATTTTTAAAAAAATATTTAGGCCCAGATCTACTTGAAGGATTTTAATTTTTGTTGGGTTACTAGATCTAATTCAAAATAGGTTGCTGCCAAGGTCGGTCAGTCTTGTTTTCTCGCAGTACCTTTTGAAGGCATTTTGAAATGAAGCATAGTCTAGGAACGTTGCCCCAACCACAATTGAAGTATCTGAATATTCAGACATTTAAAAATCTCTAGATCTAGCTCTAGAAATTGAATTCGATGCAAAAAAAAAATGCTTCTTCCCAGTCCTCGCAGAATGGAGGAATGAAAGATTACACCAAAATCTCACAATAAATAACTAAAACATCTCGAGAAAGGAAACCGTTCGGAGAAATAGTTAATAAGTTTATTTTCCCGAACGTTCGGAGAAATAGTCACCATCGAAGGAAAACAACCGAGCATAAAAGCCCAGGAAATATTAATACATGATTGATTTCCTTTCGATCTTGAAAACGCAAAACACGGGTTGTTACAAAGTGGGGCTCACATATTATGCTCAAGCAGTGCAATGTATAATTTATAATCCTGTTTAAATTTGAAATCATCCATGGGCCAGGATTGTCTCACTGTGATCGAAAGGATACTCGACTACTTGTACCCGTATACTAGCAATACTTCGCGCCGATATTCAAACCGGAAACAATCAGAAAAACGAAAGTAGGTCTGAGGCCCCAGCGCAAAGCGGTGATGTAAACAGTGGCTGCTCTCGTCGGGACAACCGTAACGACGACTGACTGAGCCCAAACCCAAGGCCAAGTCACCAGGCCTAGATCTAGATCTAGAGTCTATCATTGTTTTCATTTAGACCTTAGAATTTTTATTGTAGATCTACCGTCGGAATGGAAACAAGACTAAAGAGAGACGCTGTGGATGGTGATGTTGGGTGGCTGTCCAAATCGAATCCGCCCCGTCACATGCTTCAGGTGCGTCAACTGTCAACGTTGTTTTATGATACCATACATTTGTATAGAATCTATTATTTAACAACATTATCTAGATATAGATCTAGATCTAGATTCTACATGATATCGAGCTTACTCTGGATGTTATTTACTTTCACCTCAGCATTACTAGATCTAGATCTAGATCTAGATCTCTGTCTCATGATTGCCAGGGTATAATATTATATATAGATCTAGATCTAGATCTAGTATAATAGTGTCACCAAAGCAGGATTCTTCCATCTATGCAAAGAGTCCGATGTGAGAATATAATTCTAAAAATACCTGCATCTTTGTTTGACACTTGAAACAAGCAGCTGTGGCATGGGGCTTTGCATAGTTAATTTTAAATTCAGGATCAAAAGTTTATGTCAAGTTCTGTTTCATCAAGTTTCTTTTGTCTTTTATGGAAGATTCAAGCTCACAACAAATAACTGCGCCCCCCCCCCCCCCCCCCCCCCCCAAAACGCGCACACTTTTTATGTGGACTTGACAACAATGAGCTCGCTGAGACCTTGTACATCATCCCATTTTTGTACCTCATGATATATTATATCCTTCTCTTTCCTTCCTTGAATCTGCAACAGCTGTCCTTGATACCCCAGGGAAAAAGACTATCCGTGGCCAGATTACGTCTAGAATCTAGTCCTTTATTTTTTTTATTTCTACAACATAAATATGTTGGTGGATGGACAGCCCTGTATTGCAGTGATGAACTGTCATAATGTTGCCTAAAAGTTGTCTTAGCTTTTGAACTGGGTAAGATCAGGTCAGGAAGTCATGTATTTTAAAATGTTTTTGTGATTACACTTGTACAGCATTTTTGAGTGTACCTGATACAACCAGCCACTGAGTTTTATGGCCTACAAACCTCAGAAATACACGCACATACCAAGGAAGCCTTTGACTTTGAACTCTGTTGTCAATAAAAATCTTCGTCAGACTCATTCATCGAAATCTGGCCAGAGACAAGGTGCCTTGTCCAGGAAACATCCGCCAAGAATGTCGCTTACAAGGAGGCCATCCAGCCTGGCAGCCCGACTAACCCAGAATTCCCCACCCCTGCCTCAACTGATGACGAACACACGGCAAAGTTCTCTACTGCAGTATTTCGCAGGTGGCAAAACACACTGTGCCCAGGGTGAGTTTCCGGCCCTGCTGAGCCTGAGTCAATGGAATGGTTGTGTGGTATTGAGTGCTTCCTCTAGAAACACTGCAAGACTAATAAAAGCCACTGGTTTTCACCTAGGCAATCGGTGAGAGTTTTAATGTGAATGTGTCTACCCTAGTGACCCAACTATTTCTGTGAAAAAATGGGTTGATTGAAATGTTGCCTGCACTATTTTTGTGAGGTCATTTGGTGATTCATCAGCCATAGGTTCAGACAGAGTTTTAAAAAAAATTCTAATTTTAGGTTCTGATGAAAAATCTGTTATCATATTCTATTCATAATCAGTGCCCCAAATGAGCAAAGTCAATGTATAAACAGCTATAATATTAATTATTAACAATTTTAGTCATTTGAAAAAAAAGTTTCATTTCTTGTTTTTCCAACCTTGTTTTCCCTAACCTTTGACCTGCTTCATTATTTGGCTGAGTGTTCTTTCATTGTAAACAAAACCACAGACACACGAGCCATAGTCTGGATGATTATAGAAAGTACAACAATGAAGTTATTAGATACATCTTTCTCGAACAATGTCTTACGGCATCCGTCATTTGGTGGGAGAATAATATGTAGATGAACAGACTAGTCAGGTCATTTCTGGAATGCTGGTCTGTTGGCAGACACGCTTGCCAGAATGGACCAGATGGAATAACGCCCTACTTGACAGAAAATGCGGTCGGTTCCGCTCTGGTGGACATGTGGCCCAAAGGTGTCGGGTAGAGAGAGCTGAAACGTTTGCTTGAAATGGCTTTTTCTGGCACTTAGATGACTGGAATTGGGTCGATAGTGCCGTAAAACACCTACTCAATCAATCAACGGGGTTCTTCGCAGCAGAAGATCTAGCTGCTGTCTACTCGCCCGAGTTTCCTCCCACACAAGCTTTACACTTTGCCACCACAGAACCCTGATCGACGACGGTGTGGTATTGTGGTATATCAACAAAAACGCTGCAGTAATTATCTCTTTTTTGACATACGGACGTTTGATAAAGTTAAATTTCCTTTCTAAATGGTTTGTGTGGTTGGAGTAAATTTTTTTGAAAAATGTCGAGTAAACCTAACATGAGTGCTGCCTTACTCTTATGCCATGATGAGAATGTGGGTGATGAATGAGCTAGATCTAATGTCTTCAGTTCCGATTCTAATTCCTTTTTTGGTGAACATGCAATCATCACATTCTATTTTCTCAGTATGTTGAAAATTTCATAATGGTTGGGGTATTTTTGCCGAGATACAGGTATAGTACTGATGTACTGCATTGCATCCTGGTCTGTGGAGACAAGTGTTGTAGTGCGCTCTGCACGCTGCCTGGGTGGAAAGTGTTAAAAGTTAAAATCACTTAAAGTTTAAATTACTTTAAGTTTATTTATACATAATATATATATATCATATATGTATATAGTAGAGGGAGAGTGAGATAGAGAACAAAAATGTTATTGTTTGTCTCTATAACCATTCCAGTTGGTTTTTTGTTGTGACAGTGAGTTAGTTTTTATTGTAGTCTTATGTTTTTACTGCATGCAGGATCTCTTCCAGGTTCATTGCGTGGCAAATTTTTTCATAGAAATTTTATACACATGATGTAATTGTCATTTCTTTATTTACAGAGTACTATTTTCTACATGAAACATGTGTCAAGTAAGTTTATAATTACGATGTTGGCTATCTCCTGAAATGCAATGCTCATTGGTTGAGCCTTTTTATAGAAATAGAAAATGAAAATATGAGTCACATAATGATATTTATTATTATATTATTTTTACGAGTATTCTCCTCCCTCCACCCCCCTTTCCACATACACACACCCTGTACTGGCCTCCGTATCCAGAATGCAGTCTCTACCAGGTATCTTTGCGCTTTCTCATTGTATGTTCCTTGTATGATTTCCCCAGAGACTGAAGTAGGAGCCAAGTATGACCTTGACTTTTCTGACCTTGTGAGAGGCGAGATTGACAATCATCAGGAGGAGTGTTCTACGTTGCCGTCAGGCCGCTCACAGCTGCAGGGCTCACTTGCCAGACACAGCTCAGAGCTACGGGAGCAGTTTCCGTTTCTGTGCACACCGCCGGTACCTTCTGATGTCACTGACCCTGACCTCTGCTCTAACAGAGGCAGGCGGACGATGCGACATCTGGGAGATGCTACATACCAGCTCAATGTGACTGGGGATGGTCATGTGACCCCTGCCTCGGGGACGGGTGGTCAGATCGGTGTGGAAGGGAGGAAAAGGAAACTGGACGATGATCCTCCTGTCAGTTGCCGTGGCATTATTGGGTCAAATGATGACAGTGACGTCAGTCAGCATTCTGTGTTATCACCGAAGGAGGTGCCACTAAAACTTAGTCTTGTGACTTTCTCCCAAGGTCTTCAGATGGTGGAAAGTGAGAGTGACAGTCCCCTGCCGTGTTTACGACTTCAGCCAGATGTGGATGACCCCTTGGAATTTGCCAACAGCCAGTCAGAATGTGCCAACAGCCGGTCAGAATGTTCCAACAGCCAATCAGAATGTGCCAACAGCCAGTCAGAATGTTCCAACAGCCAATCAGAATGTGCCATCAGTCAATCAGAATGTGCCAACAACCTGTCAGAATGTGCCAACAGCCGATTAGAATGTGCCAACAGCCAATCAGAATGTGCCAACAGCCAGTCAGAAGCAGCAGTCACTGAGGGTATCATGTATGGTACTGGCAAAAAGTCCCTGAAAATAGAAGATGTTGGCACTGGGGTGCGTGGTGAGCTCACACTTTCACTAACTGATTCACCGATAGATTCTTTTTCTTTAAGCAGTTGGAGTAGCCTCCCCCCTCATGCAGGACAACGGTACGACGACTCACCGAGATCTGGTTCTGGCGATTGGTCACAAGCACTCACTGAAGATGAGGACATATTCTCTGATTCGGTTTGTCCTGACTTCACTCAGAGCGTTTCGTCGAGTGGTCAGACCCGTCGTTCACAGCAAGGGAGTGTGTCCAGCGTACGATCTGTCGAAGTGGTGGACTTGGCCCAACGGAGAGAGTGGTACCGTCAGGAGATGGGCACACTGACTTTCACCCCTGGTCCAGAGTCACAGGAAATGGTGTGAGTCAGAGACAGAAGTGGCTGTCGTCATGTTTTCTTGAAATACTGCGTTGTGTGTGTGTGTGATAAGTCATTTTGCTCTCTCCATGTCTACAATCTGCTTTGTCTTTTTTAAGGGGACAGGCTACTTTTCAAGCCCATTTTTCTTAATGTTGAGAAAAATTGCCTGAAGCAAGCCTTCTTATATATACATCCAGGGTCATGCTGATAAAAATTTAAACATAGTATTTTGAGAAAATCTTTCTGTTGCCGTCAACATGGCGGTCACGTTGGATTTTTCTTGGCATTTCATGGTGGGGGATGCATTTTGCTAATCATTTTTTTGTTTGACATGATAAGTCTATTTTTGTTTTGAAATTATCTTGTGGACATATCTTCAATTCACTGACCAAAAATATTTTGTCTATGTACTTTTTTAAAGCACTAGTGTATCTCCAAACTCTGAAGTCCCAAAAGATGTTAGGGGTAGGGTGAGTAAAGCCGTCAGAAAAAAAATAATAATAATAAAATGTACATGTAGCTAAAATATAATGCTTCAGTGAATTGTACAAATGTTAAACTGCATCCGTAAAAAAAATAGGAAGGCAATATCTTGAAGAACAAAAAAATGATTAGAGAAATATAGAGAGGGTTTTGACTTGCTTAGCAAGTCAAATAACATAGCATTCGTGGACATTTGTATTTTATTTTGGTTCATTTCCAGGAACACAGAATGTTTTTATGGCAGTTTTAATACTAAGGACTAACATTTCATGTTACAGTCCATAGACCTATAATTAGCCGAGACTGCGCACGGGCTACGCCAGCCCTCCCTTCCCAGCCAGCGCACTAGGGCAGACAGTAATGGCGGAACAGTTGGGCAAAAATCGCTCGCTACTGCCTGGGCGGCTGACTAGATTAGAGAGGCCTTTCGCGGCCCTGACTTAGCATTCGTACTGCGTTCGTTTTATTGTTTCTATCTCTAGGTGTAACTAACAGGGACATAAGTATCTAATGTAATGGATGAAATTAATACCACAATTTTTTTTAATTATAAAGAACAATACGCGTACCACAGTGATGATAAAAGTAAGGACATAAAGTTATAGTGGATCTAATACAAAATTCCGTTGTTATGACAACACACATCAAGTTTCGGTCACCGCACGCTGATATCTCATCATAAAATTAAAAGTAGAGTCTATGGACAAACGCATAATATCATAAGGATCTACTTGTAACTTGAAAATAGCCAAGAAAACAAACAAATAAGAACAGATGCACAGCTACTTGAAACTAAAAAGTAAAAGAACGAAAATAGAACTCAGTAGATTTAAGACACTTGGATGAATATCAGATCTAGTTGAAAGAAGGAGTGCACAACACCTGCCCACCCACGTACATTGTTCATTTCAAACCGGTACTTATATTTTTTAGTAAAAGGAGATTATGGTGGCATACATTTTTAACATGAAGCAAAGGGAAGGAAAGAATCAAGTTGGTTGCATACTGTCTTGGGCAGGAGAAGAATACTTCAGTTCAGGGGCAAGAGAAAGATAGAGAGGAAGGAAAAGGAAAATGACTTTATAAAGACAACAAAGATGAAAGATGTACACAGTTCTAAAGAGTGAGGAGAGAGAGAGAGACTGAGAGATGTGTTTGTTACACAAAGTTATTTTCTGTACTCACCAGCTCATTGTGGGCATCCAAGCGTAATCCAGGGGAGGGGTAGCCACTTAGACGTGAAGGAAGAGAATTGTCTTTGCCAACTTGTGACGCTGCGATCCTTCGTTTTTCCTAACAAAGCGTTCATTAAATAGCCTTCCATGGTGTGTGAGCATTAGGTTGCAGAAGACTGCACATAACTCCTTTATTATCTGGGTGGCGTGGTCATCTTGGTGCTCGATTGAGTGATTCTCAAGGCAATGGGCTTTAAGGTCCTGAAAAGATGTTAGTCCCACAGACTCAAGAACTTCTTGTGTCACCAGTCGTGTGGTGAGAGCTGACACTGACAACAAGGGACCTCCTTTCTCTGTGACGAGCAGTCGTCGTAGACACCGATCAGCTGTTTTGACTACATTTAGCAAATCGTCGCTGGCATAAATTAGTCCACCCCTGTCTCGAATCCTGGTGAATGTTGCCGCGTCTGATGAAGAGGTTGAGGTGGACAAGAATGCTGCGCATGTGCTGCACTTAATCTTCTTCTGGATCTTCCGACACATGAAGCCAGCAATATAATGAAGCACATGGTTGTGATAGAGGCCAGGACGCATAAGTAAATTCACCATGTCAGGGTGTGGACTTTCTGACTCCGGCATCTCTCTCGATCCACTCTCGTTATGGAAAGACTCCTCTTCCCTGATTTGTGGTGTCGCATCT